TTTTTTTTGAGATGGAGTCTCACTCTGTCTCCAGGTTGGAGTGAAATGGCATGATCTTGGCTCACTACAACCTCTGCCTCCCAGGTTCAAGCGATTCTTCTGGCTCAGTCTCCCATGTAGCTGGGACTACAGGCACGCACCACCATGCCCAGCTAATTTTTGTCGGGATGGGGTTTTACTATATTGGCCAGGATGGTGTCCATCTCTTGACCTCGTGATCCGCCTGCCTCGGCCTCCCAAAGTGATGGGATTACATGCGTGAGCCACTGTGCCTGGCCTCTGAATTTCTTAGTTAATCCAAGCTTTCCACAAATTGTTGGTCCCAGCTAGCTGGAGAGGCAACAAGGTAGTTCTGCCCAGGAACTGGTGGTTACCAGTCCTCTGTGAGGTACACTCTTCTCCCAGGTGACTTCATTGGGTCACATATCAAAAAAGGGTGTTTTCTGCAGATGTCCACTGCTTAAAAGGTGCCAAGGGCCACTTAGAATATGACTGTCCTGGTTTAGTGTTTGGATTCTTCATGCATCGAAGTGGGCTGATCATTGCAGTGGGCAGTAAACAGTATGAGAGCTAAGAGCACCAAGCTTGGACTCAGACAGAACTGGGTTCAAATCCTTGTTTCAACACTTACTGGCTACATGACCTTGGGAAGGCACTGAATATCCCCCGTCTGGTAAATGCACTTACCTCTTTGACACTGTGGATTAAAGGAGCCTGCATATGAGGTTGTGCAACAGACATGAGTCTGTAAACAAATACTCTTTTCATCATTAATCATTAACTATTTCTGTTAGGATTAGTTAGTAGTGGCTCTGAAAAGTTCAGATAGGACCCTGAGGAGCTGGGACACAGGGGATAAATTTAGGTTGGAGATACAGGGTGGGAAAGGTGAGGGGGATGAGGCAACAGATGGAAGGGTAGGGTACCAGGTGCTGATGGCCAGGTACAAGAACACAGGCTGGGGAAACACGTCCCATAGAGGGGGAACATCCAAGGAAAGGTGTGTGTGGATGGCAACCCTTGCTGTCTTTAACCTCAGATAGTGTTTTAAATGGGCTTTTAGCTGGGTTTGGAGTCCCCAAATCAGGTCAGTTTATATTACCTTCATCTTCTTCCCCTCCTTTGTACCTACCTAGAGCTACCTGCTGTATATGCCGCTGGGCAATTTCTTCCTTCAGGTGACCTGCCAAAGACACAAAAGAAAACTGCCAGTGGGTTTCCAATGGGCTGGAGGAAGACTGTCTCAGAAGCATGTGGCAAGCTACAGAAAGAAAAAGGTAGAGCAAGGGAGACAAAAACAGGCATAGCTTCCAAGAAATGCCCTTCCATGCCATAGATAGTGTCGGAAGGAGAGGTTACAAAGGCCTAGGTGTTGGCACATGAGTGCAAATACACATTTCACCCTTGAGTTCAATCATCTTAGGGTTTGATTATCTTAGTCTGTCAACCGTAACTTTTGCTGAGGCCCTGTTCTTTTAAATGGTTCTTTCTATTATTAATAAAGGGAAAGGCAGAATTTGGTCTTTTAATAATTTTTGGGCCTACTTTGAAATCCACTGATTTCTTTAAGCTATACAAAAGTGCGTCAGATAAAAAAAGATGGTGGTTTTAGCTGACAATAACCCTAATAGTTGATCATTTGATATGAAACTCATGTAATTCTAGTTTACATTAATAAAGCTATGGTGTGCAGAGAACAGTGATAATTTCCTATAGGGAGGTGATTGTTCAACTGTGCTCTGCAAGTGAGGAGGCTTCAGCTGGCATTTGCTCAGGGAGTTACTCTGCATAAAATAGAAAATATGTGGAAGGTGGTGACTGGAATGGTGAGGGGTCTGAAACCATTCCATATGAGAAATAGTTAAGGTGACTTGAGACATTTAGATGGAGAAGACAAGACTTGGAGAAGAGGAATGGAGATAATGGCTGTCTTTGAATATCTGGATTGGCATATGAATTATAAACAGTTTTGTTTTTATCTTACTCTTGAGGGCAGAAGTTAAGTCAAATGAATGCAGACTTGGGGCTCAATACAAGGAAGAAACAGCTCTCAAGGAGGACTGTCTCAAAATGGATTAAGTTGTCTCAAAATGGATTAAATCTTCTGGCAAAGCAGTGAGCCCCTTCCTGAAAGTGTTCAAGCAAACGCTGGGTGACCATCTGTTGGGCTGTTAGAGTGAGAATTCCTGCCCTGGATAGGATCTGGGAGGCAATGACCTTCAGGCTTCCTCCATCTCTAAAATTCCTTGATTTCGTGCTTGAAGGATGGGTGAAACAGCAACCCGGAGTTTGTTTAAGTCCAAGGGCTCAGTACACTTGTTAAAATGTCAGTGTTGTCTGCATTGCATGTCCCATTTGGTTGGGGGGATGTGATCAGGACACTGGGGGATTCCAAGAAAGCTTGGAAAATTCATTGCTTTCTTGTCTAAGATATTTCTTTTCTCACATAAGTACATTTTATACCTCCAAGGGTATAGCTGAATTGAGGATTCAAAAGATGGGTAGACGAGGAAGCAGTCACAAGAGATTTTTTTTACTTATGGAGAGTTCTAGGGCACTCCTAGCATGTTATGGCTGGGAGGGATGGCAGAGGCCATTCAGTTCAACTTTGCACCCAATTTAGGAATCCCTTCTACAGAAGGAAATGGGCATTTCTCTTCTGACTTGTATGTATTCAAAGTATTCCATTAAGTTATATATAAGGAATTAATTTTGTGGACTTGCACCTACTTCCCTATACTTCAGCTATTTGCCTGGCCTGTTCTCAGATCAGCACAGAAAAAGATCCTCTGTCATTGTCAGTGAGAGCCCTTCACACATCTGAGGATGCAATGATTGATTTCTCTACTTCGACTTGCTTTCTCTGTAGGTCAAACATCACCAGTCCTTAAGTGGTATCTTGGAGGCCACTGTCTCCAGGCACATCATTGTCTTGGGTGAGGGTCTAGGGCACCTGTATGTCTGTGCCTTGGCTTCCATGTGACCCCACTGGAGTAGATTATGCATAGAAAGCATGGCAGGCATTGGGCCTAAGCAATAATTGCACCCTTATTCCATGTGAGGGAAGAGTGGGGACTTCAGAAATGTGCTGAGGGGGACTTGGAGAAGTGGAAACTTGGCCCAATGATGAGTATTGGTGAACCTGGATCCAAGAGGGGAAAATGACTTGACACCTGAGCCAGCCACAGCCCCAAATGGATCTTTTCCCCACTCGGTGCGACTTGACCCTTACTGTCCATATCAGCAGAGTAAAGAAGTGGGGGACATAGGCTGCTACTGGACTGAGACTCTAGGCTGCATCAAACACTGCTGAATTGAATTTTAAGACAGAACAGCACATGCATGCCCCAAATTAAAGGAGATATTGCTCTGACAAATGAATTGAATTTTAAGACAGAACAGCACATGCATGCCCCAAATTAAAGGAGTTATTGCTCCAACACACCACTTGGAAACATTTCTTGATTTAGAGTGGGTCGTCAAAGCCTTTTTAATCCTGCAGTATGGAGCATCAGCGGTGCTTTGGTACCCTGCCTATTTCCTGGGTATCTGGCACAGCCTTACACCACGAGCCTCTCATATGCCTGGGTGCTGCCTTTCTAATGAGCCTGGACAGTGGCTCGCTCCTTTACAGCATACAGTTGGTCACGCTGCCCCATGGAAAACTACCTCCCTGATAATAAGCCTCCTCAATAATAAGCCTTCCTGACGATGGGCCTCATGGACCACGCGCCTCCTGACACATGCTTCCTGAAGTCTCTGCTTCCCAACCCCATGCCTTGACCACAGTAGGCGTGTTCAACCCTTTGTTTCCCAAGCCCTAGGAAGCCCTAGGGAAGCTTGTTTTTGGAATGACAGGGTTAAGGATTCTTTACCGCCCCTGGTTTAGGAGGAGCTGCTCAGGTAAATGAAGAGGGGATTTTGCCACCACAAACATAAATAGTCTCAGAACAATGAGGCACCCCCAGAGGACAAAAAGTGGGTCTTTATAATGTTACATATGGATAAAGATTGTTTTACAATGTGGTTAGTGATACTCAGTTTTGGTGAATTGACTAACATCTCCCACCACATGGCAACCTCTTTTGATTTCCCCAGACAAGCTTCCAAAAATAGCCTTATGGCTGATATACCTAATTGCATTTTCTAACAGAGCTATTCTTCATGTGCAGATAACGGTCTCTGTAACCTGCTGGATCTTGCAGCTCCATGGGTTTTGGCAAAAGAAGGAGTTGAGGGGGATTGCAGAATTCACTCAGCATGCAGCTTGCTGTCATTACCAGGGTGATAAATTTGCTGGTTTTGGCCTAGGTTCCTGGACACATCCCCATCCAGAGGTATGGAAAAGAGATGAAATGGAAACAGAGAACTCCCAGCCTGAGGCCGGAGACAGTCTGGGAGGGAAGTAGCGAGCCCAGACTGGGGGTGAAAACCAAAGGGCAGGGGAGGGAAGGAATGCTCTGCCTGCAGGAGTGTCCATAATTGGTACTTTTTCCTCTAGTAATTGACCACAGTACATGCTAGAAACACCTTCTCTCCCTTTTGATTCATTAATTGATGGAATGGAGGTGGCAGTGGGGAGCAGAGCTTAAAACAGTCCATGGGAAAGCTCCAGAGGAGAGGAGTGACCTTCAATATGACCGGGAGCAGGGTACGTGGAGGCAGTGCTCTGTGTGGTGTATGGGTTTTCTCTGTTACTGAGTAGTTCTAGGGAAAGTATTAACATCATACAGAAGTGAAACTGATTTTTTTTTACATCAATATACAGTCTTTTGAATAAAACAATTTTCCATAAGCTTCACACTTTATTTTGCATGCATGCTAGTTTGAGATTGTTCGTGAATGCTGCTTGGCTGGCCCAGAGAAGAGCTATTCACTTATGACTCCCTGAGTGGCTGTCTGCTGCTCCTGCAATTTCTGTGATGCCGTGCCTCATTAAAAATGTTTATGTTGCTATCAAGCAACAAATACTTATCTCTCGTCTACTATAGGTTAAGCCCTATGTTCTAAGTGCTGTGGAATACACACACTCATAATCAGCTCTATCCCAGCCTAGAAAAGTCAGTGCGGTACAGGGATTGGCAAATAGGTGGCCTGTGTGCTCTTTCTTTTAAATGCTGGACCAATGGCTGGCCTGGCTCCTTTATCAGCGATGGTTTGCTTTTCTGCTGAGCCTGAGTTTGGCTCTTCCATACAGTACTCTGCGCAGCTACAGCCCATCACTTGGAGTTGGACTTGAGATATAGCAAACCTCTTTGCCATTTCAGTTATTCTAGAAAATAATTACAAATCTGGTCCGGGTGTGGTGGCTCATGCCTGTAATCCCAGCACTTTGGGAGGCCGAGGTGGGTGGATCACCCGAGGTCAGGAGTTTGAGACCAATCTGGCCAACATGGTGAAACTCCGTCTCTACTAAAAATACAAAAATTAGTCAAGCATGGTGGAAGGCACCTGTAATCTGAGGTACTCAGGAGGCTGAGGCAGGAGAATCACTTGAACCCAGAGGCAGAGGTTGCAGTGAACCGAGATAGTGCCACTGAACTCCAGCCTGGGCAATGGAGTGAGACTGTCTCTGGAAAAAAAAAAAAAGAAAGAAAGAAAAAGTAAAAGAAAATAATTACGAATGTGGAGGTAGACAGAGTTGAGTTCAAATCCCAGTTTTGCTGCTTCTTAGTTGGATGGGCTAATTAACATCTCTAAGGCTCACTGCTATCATTTGAAAAATGGAAATAATATTATAATGGCAATAACATCTGCTTTACTATATCTCAAGATCTTTCAGAGAAGCAAGGGATAACACACCAGTATGTATGATATACCACGCTGGTTTCAGGTATTCAGGCACTTTCAGACATATTGGAAAGATACTACATGGTTAAGATGACAGGCCAAGTGGCTAAATGTCAAATCAATGGTAGAGATACATTTAGAGGAGGGAAAGGAGACATTGGAAAAGGCATAATTACTACAGGCGAATCGAGTAGGCTCACAAAAGAGCAGGGTTTTAAAGTGGGCTTGGGAAGGGCACCCTAGTCTGAGAGAAATGCTGGGACGATAACGAAGGCCAAGTATCTACCAGTTTGGGACAGGGGTGGCAAGGGAAGGCTGAGTGGAGGACTAGGGCTGGGGAAGACTGAGTTGTATTCACACTGGAGTCTGGGGTCCTGGGTAATTACTAAGAGC